GTGTGTGTGTGTGTGTAGTGTATATATATATATATATATATATATATATATATATTAGTTGACAACCGATATTTCGGCACCCGTATGATATATCGGTATAATTATTCAGATGGACATACGTACTGTATACGCTGTATATTTCGCGGTGGTTTAGTTTTCGCGAATTTCGCGAACGCGTCTTCGACCGCGAAAATAACAACACGCGAAGAATTTATACCGAATAATTCATAATTCACAGACCGCGAAATTAACTACTCGGGAAATTGTCCGTCAAGTCTGAATTCGCGAAAATATCTGCACGCGAAAAATATGGCGTATACAGTAATTCTGTGTCCACTTATATTAAATGTGCTTCCCACGCCAAAGCTTGATATAAAATGCCAAATGTAGTATATATATGTGTAGAGTAGCAACTAAAACTAAAAAAGTGTATTGAGGCTAGGTGGCGATTAAACGTAGATAATAACAAATTATAAGTAAGTACCAATTAAGGTTGGAATCCGATCATAAAAATACGTACGTAGTTAGCGCAACGTACAGTAAACGATAGAGGTAATTGTATTTCGGCTGACGAAACGCCATCACAATACCTTGCCCACAGTAAGTGAAGGGGTGGGGGGCTTTCCACAATGGATACGCGCAGTAGCAGGCGTTGTCGAGCTGTTAGTAGTGAGTAGTTGCTGTGCATGCCTAGGAGCAGCCCTAAGGACTGTTGCGTGACCGCGCAAGGTTTTATTCGCGATCGCTGTAGCATGGTTCAAAAATTGTCTGGTGGGGCAAGTCCGATGCCCTGCGTTACAGTAGAGCGGTCGTGTATATTGGGAAACCTGTCGCTCGGCGTGCGTGTGTTATATCTATGTCGACGCCTATACGTCGGTCTCGGCTGATAGAGCGGCGCTGTTGTCATGGACCTATATATGCCATGCAGTCTAGATGGGTAGAGGTTGATTTCAAGCCAATCTCAAAAAGTAATCCTAATCCCCGTCCGGTAGGCAGACCTTGAAACGAGTCATTGAGTAGGAGGTGTAGTTTGCTTTGGATCAATTTTGTAGGAATGCGTTAGGCTCGGAAGACGTCGATCAGTAAGGTTCCTAGCTCTGTCTAGCAACCTCGAAAATTCTGCGCAGCATCGATCTGCCCTACCGCCATCTTCTGCCTGAAGCCGGCATGATTCATATATACTCAGCAAAATCGGGCACTGGGCGGGTGCAGTTCAAGGTCCTCCTGTTGTACATAATTGTAGGCTGCGCACGAACTGCGACTTCTTCTTGTGTATAGTTGTCCGTTTTCGAGGGATCTTCTGATGTCGGGACGGAACCACATTCATAGTAGGACTCCGCATCTCTCTCGGCTCCCCGATTTTGTTAGCATTGTTAATGAAGTTCAGTACGATATGTCGTCTTTGGGAACGTACATCAGCAGTTGTGGCGTCACCGCGCCTCCCTTTCCCCGCAGCTCTTTCCACAAGCTCGCTTGTATTCCGCCATGGGGAATAGACCGTCCTAACTAGGCAGAGGTTGGAAGACAGGAGGTATATGGGATCCTTCCCCACTATAACTTCTAGGAGAACATGCGAAATCACCAGATCTCCTTTATACCCTACGTCTCTTCGTCGCGAAGGTACAGTACGTCTTGCTGCGTGGTGCGTATAGACGTGCACGCTCACACTAGCATAGGAGAACTCCCTAGTTGGTGTCTTAGCCGCTCAACGTGTCCTAGCAGGAACACATACCCAACGTACGTGGAGCTGAATGACCGATTGGCAAGGCGTGTCTGCTAGGGTGCAGAGGTAGGAGCTCGCGGTTCTTTGTATTCGACACCCGGAGCTTGCCACGAGTTCACTTGTGGGAGCCCACCCGGAGTACAGATTGAAAGGGGGAGAGGTCGCCACACCTACGTGCCTTGATGTGACACGGCCGCCAGCAGTACTGCAGAATGGGGCCATCGATACTGGAGAGGGAATTTTGGAGGAGCATGACTCATGTGGCACGAGATGGCATGAGCTACACGGGCTCGCATCAATATTAATAATGCAGTCCATAGCCTGCGGGATAGAAAAACCCCAGAGATCTTTTCTTTCTGACCTTCTAAGTCCGCCTGCATATGTTCCGGTTTTTTTTGCTAAACGAATACCAGGATTATAATGCTTATACATATCATGACCCTGGTGAGCATGATTAGGAACTGGACAGATACACGTATTGCGCACATAATAGAGCATGCGTTGTGTCCAAGTAGCCGACTGGCGGTAGGATAACGGTCTGGCTGGTTCAAACTTCAATAGTATACGTACGGTAGAGCGCTGCTTCATACGCTGGACAAGAATTTATTATTGTCGTCGTCGGCGTCGTTGTTGTTTTGTTAGCATCACCAGCATGATCATCATCAATATAGTTATTAATATAGGTAGGCACATATATGGCAAACTCTCGCATCCCGTCGAGAAGTAAACAAGAAGACTATGAAGTAACACGATACACGGCTTCATTTATTCCTACTTTCTCTACAGACATTACGAACATTGTAGTAGGACTAGCCTACGCTTACTCACAGATGCGGATACGCTATATCTGCTATTCATCCGACTTACATATTCTGAGAATCTCTCTCCATAGTTACACTGAAAGGGTCAATGTATTCTTGGGTACAAAAACGCATGACGTACTATGGTAGTTTAGGTCAAGGAGCTACATATATAGCTAGTTATATGTAGCTCCTTGGTTTAGGTTAGGGCAGGGTTAGGGTTAGAGGTAGGGACACGTTCCTACAGTACCGAGAGAGACAGACCCTTTCAGTTACAATTCCTCCGTGTACTCTACTGTGGCACCTTGCCATGGAGTGCGGAAAAGAGAAATCGCGACCGTAAGTTCAATATTGGGTTTGACTCAACAGCACGTGAGATCAGGTCAGCTTCGCGCCGTGTGCTAGTATCGAGATTAAGAGCGGCGCAGAAACATGCGCGCGAGACGGGTGCGGTCGGTGCACGTGCGCGTACCTGCAGATAACAAGAGGTGCGCCGGAGACTGGCCTTCGTAAAAACAAATGTTTGCACACCTGTGTGCGGTTGCTGCGTACAATACCTTATCCTTATCCACAGGCACTTGGGACAGAGTCAGTAAAAACTGAAAATAATATGAACGCACATTCACAATTTCACAAATAGGCCCTACTACCGTACCTCTCAATTACAGTTCCACTGTTGCGTCACTGTATGTAAACTTTCCTTCATAAAAACCTATGTAAAAACTAACGCCGAACGCTCCCGCACTCGCCGCTGCGAGTGTGCTGTGTCGCCATGATAATATATATATATATATTACGGAGCTTTGCAACACGAGCCACACAATGGATACCTCCTACACATCAAATATATATATTCTCATGGCGACACAGCACACTCGCAGCGGCGAGTGCGGGAGCGTTCGGCGTTAGTTTTTATGAAGGAAAGTTGATATACAGTGACCTTATCCCGTATGAACCGAACGTTCAACACGATATGGTTACATTCCGCAAAAAAATTACCGCTTATTATCCATGCAAATAGTAACCACTCCGCCAATGCAAAATTCAAGTGAGTTAACGTCTGTGTACCTGTACAATAATACACATCCGCGCGCGCGTATGTACGTGCGTGCAAGTGCGTGTGCGTGTGCGTGTGTGTTCCTGCATGGCAGACGTTGAGATAGCTATAAAAGACGACACATATTCAAGTGGTAATCTAAGAAGATAGCAAACAAATAAATGATCGAGCGCAGTATAATTTCTGGAGAAACAATCAATAGCATAGTAGACTAAACTTGAAAGGTGCTCGCTTACAAGTGCTGATCTAAATACATATAAATATATATAAAGACAAAGTACGTGAGAATTAGCTCGGTGTCATACACCGGTGGCAGAATACATTCGCATGCAAATGCAAGTTTTATAACAAGCTATGCTAAGTTTCCACTGCAGTTCAAGATCAATTTCATGCCCCTTTACTGCCATTCACTTTTCGTCCGACGTGCTGCGCATGATAACGCAGAATAGCATAAAATTGTCAATTTTATATAAAAACTCCTACTAGATAACATTTACGTTTGCAATGCTGCCGACTGGAATAAAACCAAATTATCATATCGCTCATAATATATACCTTTAAATAAATTAGCAATACGTCAAGAATTATAGTTTACCTAATTTACACTTGTGAATGTCCGTACAAAAAATGCATTTTGACGAATCGCTTTTTTTAAGGACAAGACTTTCATGATTAATAAAATCCCTGATGCTAGTTCTTCTAAAAATATCAGACGAATTTATAGTCTATCTATACATTATTACTGTACAGTTGATGAGTTAATATGAGGGAAAAGGTAAACAGGTATATACCGACAATTGATTTGTTTTTATACAATAAGAATATCATAGTAATGTCTCTCAATAGTAAAAGTACATAATATAAATTGCACAAAAATCGTGGACGTTTTCATGTTCAAGCACATCTTGTATTCCACGTCTGTATGGGCGTGGAATTGAGTCAAGTCAAGTCAAATTTACGCTGGTGCCAAATACGGTACAACATATTACCAGGAGTAAGATAATATAGGTATATATAACCAAGAGATTTAACCTATATTATCTTACTCCTGATATTACTAGAAGTAGATAATAGGGAATAAATTCCCTATTATCTACTTCTGATATTACCAATAGGCTAATAATGATGTACAGTACAATATTTTGACCATATAGATATATCATTATAATATTAATTACGGCTAATAATAAACCATGCTTGATGTAATGAAACATGAGGCATACTTTTAGTATGAATCACAACCTTGTGATGACACAAAATTTCACACTTGAGATTCATTAACTAGCCAAAAATACCACTACTTACATACATGATACACATGAATTTTTAACTACAGTTAACACATATCTAAACCTTCCACACTATAATGCAAATTTAAATTTGTACAAGTACAAATACTTATATTTACAAACCTGATTCTCCTTCCAAGCTGCCCCAACTCACTTGTTAATATCCATGATACAATAAATAGATATACCCATTCCATGAATAAGAACAGATCATTCAACTATTTACTCTTCACTACACACGATGTCAAAGTTAGTAAATTACACATGATAAAATATTATGGTAAAAACAAACTTGTGTATATGCTATATCTCCTGAGAGTTTAGAATTTATTACACAAGTATTTACAAGCACAAGTTAGGACAACACATCTCCATGGATGAAGACCATATACCAAAACTGTCATGCATATGGGCAACTTTGTCAGTATAATAGTAACATTAATGGAAGATACAATTCTGTGTGTATAATGTTACTATTATGTTAATGTCTGTATAGAATTGTCTGATTCACTTTTTCATATAATAAAAGGCCAAGTAGGATAAAAACATTTGATATAACCCAAAATGCTATTATTGCACACCTATAAATAATGCAAACTGATCAACGGTCCATACCTAATAAGTGCATTCAGACTTTCATATCGCTGTGTGTGCTTACATTGAAGTGGTTTCTACATGGTCTAGGTTGGTGCGGGGTAGCCCTGGTGAAGCAGACTAGGATTCCACATCCACTGATAGGTATTTGCCTCATCACAGCAGTCCGGCCTTAGCAACAAGGGAATGATGAGTATTCCCACCACGAGGAGCCACGGTGCAATGGATGCCTTCATCACGCGGCAAATATAGGAACCCCAGCCCGTGGTTGCTGCATCCTTCTTGGATGTACACCTGCAACGGAATAGAGAATTTAAGCAAATGCAATCATGCTAAATGTCATGTGATGGATCACGAACGCGAACCATGATGATCACAAGTTGCTGCTTAACGTGAAAGTCGTGTAGATCAGGGGTGCATAATGACAACCCCAAAAATGCTCTTCATGGAGAGATCTGTTCTATCTACAGCAGTGTCTGCTAACAGACGTTTAAGACCATTCATAGTGCATCTATATTTCTGTGCGAAATAGATAAATTCGTCATAATCCCATGAAGTGCAGCTATTATGAAATATATGCTATATTATCATATTACCAAATACATAATTATTGGGTTATCATAATAAAATTCATATATTGGGTGAATGTTGTTACCCTTACTCGAAGTTGAATTATTGCTAGGTGGTGTGCTGCACCATGAACGATCACATACCTACTGGTGGAAACCTGCACGTTCCACCGGGGACTCAGACTATCGATGGACTCGCCCGAGACGCTGACCCCACTATCGACCGCATCCACGACGTGTAACTCGGTGAGTGTCGGGTCGCAGCCGTCGTGACCATCTGTCGCGAGGCGGACACGCGCCTCCAGAGCCCCGACCAGCAGATCGACCTTCAGCCTCAGAGTTGTAAGCACCGTTTCTGTTCGGGCAGAGGAAAATGTGATGGCATTAACATGACTGTTTTTAATCGGTGGGGGAAACGACTCAGGGTCTATATACCTATGGTAATACGACCCTATGGTGTTACTGTCTCAAATTTATTCAAACACAAAAGTATAACATTATCACTTGGATAAATCTTCTTATTAATTGATTCATTCAAATGGCCAACCTAATCATAGCAGCCCTGTTGAAATCGAAACGTACTAATTAAATGTCAAGTTCATTAATTAAATGTCAAGTTAATTAAAAATAATTAAAAGCATCATCTATTGAAATTATTCGCTTCACTTCAGTTAGTTAGATTTGAGCCATGTTCGAATATCTGTCCCACTCTCCTCCCTCCCCCATCTCTCTCTCCCTATCTCGCTCTCGCTCACTCCTATCTCTATCTCTCTCTCTCTCTCTCTGTTTCTCGCTCTATCTCGCCTTATCTTTCTTTTTCATCTTTATCGCTATAGGTGGCAATGATACACACCCGTCTTGCTGAGGTCCTGCATTAGCTCGCTGTCCTCCATCGGGCGTGCTTCTCCTGCCACTATGTCTAGTGCCAGTGTTGACAACGCGCTCATACGACTGCTCATGCTGCACACCTCATCCTGAAGCACCTGTATGAACCAAACAGCAGAGATGAGTGAATGTCCATCAAATACGATCATTTCTCTTCTTTCATTTCCTTTCCCACTAATGTTAAATAAATACAAAACCTCTTGCTCATTGCTCATTCACGCAACTTAAACAACCAGCATTATGTAGAGACCGATCCCAAGTTATTTTAAATGACAAAATGTATCAATTAGCTGTCTAACACAAAAACTAAAAAAGACAAGCTTACAAACAAACTAAACAAAAGTTTATTATGGCACATCCAGTGAAGCTGCAGTCTATGGTGGTATTGTCTATAGAAGATAACAACTCCAGACAACTTCTAAAACTTCCAGAAGTGCTCGCATACTTTCCCAGATAGCAACATTAATTAATACATTTCTAGTAACCTCTCTATCAATGCTATTGCAGATGGTCAATGCTACTTTCACTGTCATAAAATTATCTGTAATCTTATGTCTAAGAGTCCACTACTCTTACCACTACCACTACCATTACTACTACCACTACCACCACCATTACCACTACTATTACTATTACCACTACCACTCCTACCATGGCATCACGTAGCTGAGCTTCTGCAGGTGCCACGGAGATTGTGCCAGAGCCATCAAGATTTATCGACTCCTCCAGTAGCAGCATCTCTGTCTCTGTGCTGCTCAGAAGACCCTGCAGCTGCATCAAGCCATCTCGAATGTTGTGCCAGCACTTGAGAGCTCCTTCTAGCTGTCCCAACCACACCGAGTCGCTAGAAAGTACAAAGAGTATACAATGTACAATACATGCCCTATTACACTTTATCTGAGTCGACTATGAAACTGCTGCCAGCAATCATGAATACAAAGTTGCTGTAATGTTCAGACAAGAAGTAAGAGCTCAAAGGGGAGATGCAGTAACCTATGCCCATTGTTGGCTTTAAAATCACTGCTTAGATTGTCCTTGTGTAATTTGTAATATTTCATTTGATGATTTTGTTTTCGTGAGCAAAATACTACTTGTAAAATGTACCTATTAGAACATGCTAGAAAACTTATGAAAGGTTATGAATAGGGGTGCACCGGAACTTGGATCCGGCCGGAACTATCCGGCCGGATCCCCAATTTTTGAGAGTTCCGGTTCTGGCCAGAACCCTTCAGAAACAGTCGGCCAGAACAGGAACTTTTTCCTAATTTCATTTCTGCTACAAGTGTCATCAAAATCAAAAGATTAGTCACTGAATGTAGTTGAGAGTTAATAGAGTCAACTTGCTGACAATGTAGTGTTAACAACTTCACACTTTTCTGCCCAAAAAACGCTTGCCACTTCAACATTGGCTAACTAACTGAACTGAACCTAACTGATGTTAGGTGATTCATAAGATTTCCTTTCAAAATCAAATACTCTTAGAGCCACAGAAATCGCATCTGTCCGTTAGTTGAAAATAATAGACTAAAACCAGGGATACTGCAACATGCAGGTTGTGCCACGGAATTCGCTCGCGAATAAGATGCCAGAATTATGCAAATTTTGCACTGTAAGCAGCCGATTCATACACCTAACAGTAACAACCATCCTGTAATTAGAACTTTGAGCATGTCCTACTCACCTAAGTGATGTGCCTGCTAATGATAGTTCGTTCTGGCCGAGTGAGTTTGCGCAATACTGGGCCAAAACTGTAAAGTTTATTCCCAGCTAAAGTTCCGATTCCGGCCGGAACTTAAAAAGTTGGATCCGGTGCACCCCTAGTTATGAATTTGCTTGGATGATAGCAAGTGGAATTAATTAGAATGCATAATTTAAATTACACAAAAATATCCTGCTTGCCACAGTTATTCCACATGAGGTTAATTAAACAGTTTCTTTATACATAGTGTGAAAGAATATATAACCCATATACATACCTATGTTGCTGTTCATCCCATCTGCGGTAAAGCTCTGTCACTTCATCCTGGATCTTGCTGACGTCAACATCAGGATGCTGAACCATGAACCTGTGAAGTGTCACGTTGACAGCAGTCAAGATTGTCTTCACTTCCTCCAGCTGCACCTGCCTCTCCTGTTCAAAAACACAAATCGTTAGAACGAAGCGGTCTTCTAACAGACCCAATCGTTTTGGGTAAACAATCAACAATAAAACAAATATATATATGGTTGACATCGCATTCTCTATGTAACAACTGGATTGTACATTGCGCATGCTATTTAATGTTACGATATTACCTGGCCCCTACGTCGAATTATAAGGTGATGGCAGTCAGTAAGAAGTTTGGAAATCAATCCCATATAGTTCAGTAGTTATAGCAACCAACATAATGCTGATTCTTGACTAACTAATATGGTGGCAAAATTACCTCATCTGTTAGCCTTGCACTTATACAGCAATACACTCCCTAATTCTGTATATAGAGGACCCTCATGGGAAACCATGTCATTTTATGACAGGTGTGACCGTGTCTGTTCTACGCAGGTGACCACTAACACTAGTTAGACTGTATGGAGAGTCACACATAGCCATATCACACAGACCTGCAGCATGCGGATGGCGACCTCCAGACTGCTGTAGGTCGCGAACACATCTGTCTCGCTGCCGACGATGCCGCGCGTGCACACGAGTAGCAGACGACTCCTCACGCTGCACAGCTCCCTGCGCAGTGCCAGCACATCAGCCGCCTGCTGCTGACTGCTTAACGCCTTCCTCTGTAGCTCCTCCCAGCATCCGACCAAGTCTGCAATAGCATATCCAATTAAACTAATTATTACGAGATTTTTGCTCAGAAATAAATATAGCTGATATAGTCTCACCTGGCAGCGGAAATATCACTGATTACACCAACATTAAAAATACTAAGATTTTATGCAGTTATAGCATAGAAAATTGGATATGAACACATCGTAACAGCATTGCAGCAATGCATTTTATCGTATCGCGGTAATGGCAGAATTGGTAAACTTGTAAATTGTCGGTGATTAATTGAAAACAAGTGCATGTGAGAGAGAATGTACTATGTCTATGGCAGAGCGGCTGCGGCGCTACTAGGTAGTCCCTACTACCGGCTCTAGTGTCAAGATTACAGCAAACGATTGTTTACCAAACTAGTAGTTCGAAAATTGCATGTTTTGGTGAATACGAAGGTTCTAAGACATTTTATTGTTACTCTAACGTCTAAGTCTAGACAATTGCTGTTACTCATGCAATAACGGTAGGTATCATGAAAGTGGTGAAAACGCTGGAAAACTCTCGTAATAATTACTTTAATATACTTATCTTATACTAATATTATATATCGTATACTATACCGTACCGTACCGTACCGTACGCTACCACACCACACCACACCACACCACACTATACTATATTATCAAGAGCTAATAACACCAAGAGGTATTATTAGCTCTTGATCTTATACTTATACAAATAGCTAGCATATCGTTTGCAGAACGTTTACCCTGAATTTATATGGCTGGCACTGCATTCAAACCTGTTTGATATTTTTAGGACTGCCCTCGCATCCAGTACAAATGCTACAGCAAGAATTAACTTCACGGGGATGACACGAAACAATAGCATATAAATAATGATGCCCAACAATTCAGTTATGCACACAATGAAGAGGATTCCTTAACTCGATCACAATTGCAATTATAATCAATAACACTTTCAGTTAATTCCCTATCAACTAGGCCATCATTTTATCTTGCAATTTCGTATAAACATGCCAGTAATGACTGACCACAGAAAATAGTCACAAAGAGCTCGTTTAAATTCATTATACTAGACTGGGAGTCATTGCTGCGTATATTGCAACAATGATTTGACACCTCCATACTGAAATCTCAGTGGAAAGGTAATTGAACTGTCATTTAAATGTACTGTGGCATACTGATATCTCAGTAACAAACAGGTAGCTTAGTTAAAGCTTACTCGAATGCTTGTCAGAAATCAATATTCCTGATGCTGAAATAACTTTTTCGAATTGTTTTTAGACCACCTTGAAATCAGTGTACGAACAGTGATTTTATATTTCAAAAAATTGCATTTTCCGTTTGGGAAAATCATGAATTCCGTTTCAAAGTAAAGAAAAAATGGAAATTCCGTTTTGCCATAGAGATTTGTACACACCAAAAATGCAAAATTCCGTTTACATATATTTGCATGAAAAAAAGGTATTTGGTCACTGACTGACAGTTGGGTTGGCACCGAAACACAGGACTACCAAAAGATAAGCTCCAATTGTAAGTCATTTTGCTCTGAAACTTGTCTGAATGTAAACCATATCACTACCAATGCTATTGTCGACGTTTTTTTAAATGATTTTATTGAAATTTCCATGTTGTAATATGTTAAAATTACGTTTTCCGCATTTTTCTGTTTGAAAACATCTTTTCCGTTTCCAACGGCCGTTTCCGTGTTTTCCGCGATCGCGGAAAATCACTGTCCCTATCAGTGCAACCACAAATTCAACCATGGCTAATGGAAGAACATGATTGCAAGTCATGTGCAAATAATAACACTCCAAGTCATTTGGTTATGTATACAATCGAGAGGAATCACAGGGTTTGTGTATTTAGAGTGAATTTCCATTTACTTACAAATCACAAAGCACAGCCCGCCCTGAAGCACAACAATGCCACTTACCAGACAGTGTTACTATGTCCTCCTCCAAGAAACTGACAACACTGCTGCTGCTGCTGAGATGGTCGGAAATCACTAGAAGACACTTGATGTTTGTCTCACACGTTGCTAGCAACTCAGCCTTCAGTGAAACAGAACATGTTTTAGGGAAACATGGAAGCTAGTTGTCAAATCTTAGCTGGAGAAAACTTAGTAACCATAGATATATTTGCTGTGTTGTATTAATTGAATCACTGCATTTGTTTTGAATGCAAACGGATGCCATAAACCTTAAACTTAGTGCAATACATAGCTTTAATACTTTAATTAATGTTAACATTTTATAATAGTAATTTAACATAGTTAATAGGGGAAAAACAATTAGTAAGGGCCACTGCATGTGCACAGAGCTTTGTATGTATGTCCCACATACGTTGTTGCAGCCGTAACCTAGCGGTCACTCACGTATTTCTGCGGGTCGAGCGGCTGTCCGGCAGCGTCCTGCTGTAGCCGGATCAGAGCGGCTTGAGCCACGTGGATCTGGCTGCTGGACTCGTCGATAACGTAGTGCAAATCCTCAAGGTCAGAGTCAGAGTCAGAGTCCAGTGGTATAGGATGACCGCTGCTGTGTGCGGACATATCCTACCGACAAGTAACAGCACCCACTGTCAGTCATCATATGGGGTCAGGTTTGGAAGGGAGCGAGGTAGAGGAGGCGAGGGTCGAATGGTGGAGCTGGGTGTGGGGCCAGAGAGGGAGGATGGTGGTACTAAGAGATGAAAGATGAGGATGGAGTGGGGCTGGAACTGGAGAGGAAGCTCCAATTGGTGGACACTGGGGGATAAGGGCTGGTGTAGAGAAAGACGAGTCGGAGTGGGGTTAGGGAGGAAGAGTGGGGCTGGGACGAATAATGAGAGGTAGAGTTGTATAGGAGAGGATAAGGCAAGGAGTGGGGCTGGGGCTAGTGGACAGGAGACTAACAGAACACCCAGTATAGCCACGTAACATGAAGCCATTATTGTTTTTATGTATATATATATATATGGTATGGAAACTCCAACTGGAAACCTTATTGCAATATATAGGGTACTACCATTTTCATACAAACAATTCTAGCATGGATTAGTTATTCTAATACAACTTTTTGGTAGGCGATCATAGTCAGCAACACTGACAAATATTAGGGATCACATTGTCACGTCCTCTAGAGAATGGAGAAGTACAATGCTGTGCACTTGCACAATCAAGAGCCAGTTAGTGTCACAACTGTTTGCTTAGTATTTCACTCATGTGCAAGCGCACTTACTTATCTATAGCATCATGTAGATACGAAGCACATCTTAAATGCATTAAATAGAGGTGCCGTCTCCGCTGATCTGGGGCATGATACAGGAGCAGGTTTACCTTTCTGCTCGGCGTACTACTGGCATGCTTTGTAACCGCCCTGAGTGGTGAGTCTACCGAGTGCACCTCGCTGCCACTGTCCGACTCGAGCGGTATGGTGGCGTGGTAGTCCTCCCCATACTGCTCAATCATCTTCCTAGCTACCTCCCGCCATGCAGACTGGTCAGTATCAACACTGTTAATGTACAGTGGCTCCTGGCGGGGGAAACACAGTGAATCGCATGCAAAGTGCAAGGTTAATATACACACAGATCCATGCACAAGCACATGTACACACGCATACACTCACAAATGCAATGTTCATAGGATTCAATACAGGGAGCCAGATTATTTCTAATTTATTAGTCATTTGTACTTATATCCACACATGCACCCACGTTAATTGCATTTGTATTTTTACATTAAGTTACATAGTTGTTTGATGGCATTAAAAGTAAAGCCAAAGAGAAAATAGGTGTCATTTATAACCTGATTGACAATGGCATTTTATTGCACTTATTGCACGTTTTTTTAATGTAAGGCAAATTTTATTGAATGATATATGATCCAGCATTTTTACATGTGATATTTTGTAACCGTATTTTAATTATTAACCATTTAGAATGATATGGGGCCATTCATTAATATATAGTCTCCTCATTAACCTTTCAATCTTATTGATTTTGTCGCAATCTACCAACATTCATAAGTCAGCCATAAAGGATGTAATGAAGTATGATTAATATCTGACGCAATCCATAGAACCTCATTAATTTTGCACCAATTATCTCTACACTTATATTATTAATAACAGCTCATGGCCCATGATCACCCTCGATTGTGCAGAACTGATGATGAATGTACATGCCTGTACACATGCACACAATGGGGAGATCAGAATTGTTAAGGGTGTGAATATCAGTAAAACAGACTATTAGTGCATAATATCTTGTTTATATACCTGGTAATTATCCCATGCAGCATCTGATAGCGAACTCACTGTTTCCACTCCTGGCACAAACTGCTTTTCAGTATCGCTAATATTCCCAGAAGCTTGAACATTCGTCCCACTGTCAATGAGTCCTGCTGCGGCATCTCCGGCAAAGAGGGCAGTTGGTGCCATAGCTGGCACTGATGTTGGGCAGACAGGGAACGCAGTGCCATCCTCGGTAAGATTACCTGGAGCAGATTGCTTGTCAGTTAGTAACAGGCCATGTCATTAATGCCCTCAATGTTTCCAACAAATATATGAAAATGATGTCAGAGTTATCTTGATGTGATTTGTTTGCTACTATTAATAGGGTTACAGTTTTACGTAAATAAGTACCATCATATGAGGAGTCGATAATGAACCCGTCATACTATTTTACTATTCTTCTATTATACTTGCACCTATCCTTAAATACATACCCTGCACTATACATTATCTTTATAAATTTCTTATGAACTGATCACATGTCATTTATGTGACTTCATCAGTGTTCAATTTCATCCAACACAATCTATAAAACATAGGCCCACTGCAGGACAGTGTTACACCAGTGCTTACCGACATAGTCATCTTTAGCACCATCACTGGCAGACCTGGGCGTCACCTGCTGCAGGTACGCAAGCCCGGAGTTAGCCGACAGGGAATGTGGGATCGTGTGCGTTGAGCTACCCGGGCTGTCCGATTGCGTCCTGCGCAGCGTTCCCCGCCTCCCTCTCCTCCTCCGCTCCTGCCTCAGCTCCAGCTTCCCCTGCGAGCGCCGCAGCTTCTGTCCTGTGGCGCCCCCTGGCGTGGTGGTCGGCGTGCTGCTGGCGAGCACGTACAGCACGTTGTCTGACGTCGACAGCGGCGACGCGTCAAGGGGCCATGGTGCGCGTGCGTACTCGATGCTGCGTGGCCGCTGCTCCGAACCGGCCCGCCGCCGCCGCCGCACAGCCACGGCAGGGGTGCCACCATCGCGCGGCACTGTGAGGGCGCCACCATCGCGTGGCGGATCGACAGCGATCACGCTGCCGCGCGCACTCTCATCCTCGCTTGAGATTTCGTCGTCGTTGTCAGAGTCGCTCGTGTTTTCGCCCGAAGCGTCCGTCGCCTCGCTGGTGTAATCCCCCGACGCATCGCAGGAGCTGTCCCGCATCGGTTGGCTACTACCAGGGATGTCTTTTGACTGCGGATTCTTCCCATATCCGTCCCACGGCGGCACGGTGTCGTTCTGATTACACGTTGTGATGGCTCGCACGTCGTACTGCATGGTTGTCGTCGTCGTCTTGAGTGCATCGGTCTCGCACGCGATCACCGTGACAGCGTCGATGCTAACTGCTGGTCGCTCCGCCCAGGTGATGCTGGTGTCGAGGTCATGACCTGCATGTGGCACATGCTGCATGGCAAGCAGCCGCTCCTCGAAGCGCATCAGCGCCACCTGGTGTTCGAGTCGCGTTTGTGCGTCGAGGCACACCGCGCGCGTCTCGGATGACGCGTTCAGGTCGAGGAAGCTGCCGTTGTTCACGAACATAGAGTCGTTCGCGTTGGTCGGAACATCGCAGGGAAAGAACAACTGTACATTGGAAGCTGACAGCGAGTCACCAGAGGGCAGTGTCAACAGTGTGCCCCTGCGAGATACGTCTGGGTCTGCGGCAGGCTGCATCGCAGATGCTCGCCCGTGATCAACTCCATCAATAACGGGTGTCAGTGTCTCAACGTGTGTCTCCGTACTCTGTGCGACGAAATCGAGTCGAGTTCGAGTCTGATCTTCCACGCTGAAACGCAGAGATTTCCGTGCACCAGGGGGCGCTTGGATCTCTTCGTCGCCCTCTGAGTTTCCATCGACGGCAGGATTCACCTCGTAAAACAGCGACGATGGCAAAGCCCTGGGCAGGACGTCGACATGCGCAGCATCCTCGCCGACACGACCCCGCGCACTACTCCCTGCCCACCAGCCATCTGCCACGTGCGGCTGCTCAGGGGTGCCACCGTGCGGCCGCGGGTCGGCGCGCGCCACGCTCCCCACACGCTCCAGCTCGTCGTTAGAGCAGTGCAGAGAGCTCTCACTCGAGTAACCGATGTCTTTCACGACGAGTTCAAACTTGGTGCCGCACGCGACGGCGCTGTGAAGGTCCTGCATGCCCGTGTCGCCCACCATCGTGCTCTTGTGCTGCCACCTGTGCAGGGCATCCGCAGCGGGCGTCGACCGGCGATCGACGGCGGGGTGGAAGTCAGTGCTCTGGTCCATGTCAGATGAGAATCGTTCGTATTCCTCTGCGGAAAACGGGATCACGTCGCTGCGATCGCTCTCCGATCCTTCTCCTCGCACAACCTCGGGAAGACTGATGTCTTGTTCCTGCTGGCAGACTGTGGTGCCCTCACCTGGTTTTCCTTCCTACAACAAAAAGAGAGGGAATTACACAATGATACTGGGGAAACTGTTAAGGATACTCTCAAGGTTTTAGGAAAATTTTTACCGATTTTTCATTTTCAACTTTATTCGATGGCTAACACTATGTGCCACCTGTGTACCTGCTCATTTCTTCATATAACGGTACATGTGAACTGTCAGAGCGTTTTGCTTGCCCGCAGACATGTGTAGTGAGCCGCGGCTGACGTCAGAAAAACGCTGATTTCTCCGTTCCAATTTCTGACTTAGTAGTCGATGTATAAATGGATATTTCTCTGTGATTACAACTCGGAATAATGTACTTTTACACTCGTTTTAATGGTAACATATTGCTGTAAAAAAGTGCGTCTCTTTATTCTTCTTTCTTCTCTTTTATGTCTCTTTATTCGCAAAAATTTTAAATTCAAACGTGCGACTTGAATTTTAGGCAGTTTTTTTAATTTTTCTCGGTAAATATGAAACTTAAAAAAAAATCCTGATGCGCTATTTTGGTACATATTGACATTTGTGCTTAACATGTGGCGAAAATTTGGTATCCTCACTCTTTATGGTAATTGAGAAATATCCAAAATGCCATTTTTACATGAAAACTCAAAATTTTTGTGGTAACATAATTAGGTGCTGGAAATTTCATGAAATTTTTTGCCTTGAGCATAGAGATATATCTCCTCTATAAATAAAACAAGTGATTGATTCGATTCATTTGTCAATAAACATTTAATCTTCATTAGAGCAATACCCGTGCAAAAGGTTGAGAGTATCCTTAATCACTTAGTAATATTGTCTAGAATTGATTGCGATAGCTACAATGAGAAGACCTGAGCACTGTGTGATAAAATCAAGATTAGTCAGCAAAGACATAGATTTCAGCCTATATCTCAACATACAATTTGTTTGACCTAATTCCGAATTAGTTTTTGCCAATCTATGTCACTATGAAAAAAGAAACAACGATTTTTATACGACATAAACATTCTAGATAGTGGGTTATGAGCAGAACTAGCTCACGAGTGACAAATGTATCCAGCCAAGCAGTGCTAAAACCACTCCCATATCTGTGGGATGGAAGCAAACACGTGTCATTCGCCAGACTATGTGACTTAGTTAAGTTATATAAGTCTACTAATTAATACGTAAAGGATATTTCACTGCTATTGCGGTACCACATTAGTATCATCTATATTCAGTGTTGGAAATAGCAGCCTGTCCGCCAGTCTGGGACTGGTAACCTTTGTTCAGATTTTATAGATATTACTAATTAATATCTATATGAATTTTCGAAACCAATAACTACTATCAGTTCTCTATACCTATGCAATTATGATGCCCCTTGTTTTAAAATTATTATTTATGAAATAATTTGAAAAATGAATATATGTCTAATTGGGTCACACCTGTTAGCAGGCATTACTAATTACTCTAACATAAAATTTAACACAAGTTTGTGTTGCTATAGGGGATAAAACACAAAAACAATCAGAAAACTTGTGCTTGGACTCATGAGCTTCGCAAAAATGAAATGTGAAATTGGCAGCACATATATAAGTGCAACTGATTCTGTCATGTGAATTTCACTAGACTGGCACACTTACATTGACATGTAGACAAAGGTAGTACAGACAGGGTACCAGTCGAAAGCATCTCGTGAGATGTGAGAATGACGTGGTATTAATGTTGACACACTTCGAAACACAGGTCTGTGCTTATATTGGTGAACATAATAACATGTGAGTGTTCTAAGATACGTCGTTAGCCTTACTCCGTATACACTTGCTGTTACGCATGGAGTACCAGTAAGTCTCAGAACAATCGAGGAAATATGAGAACGGTTGGGGAAACATGAGAAATGATTAGTTTAATCGGCGCATGCGCGCACAGTCCCCGCACACCTACCTGCCAGTCCCTGATCATCTGCTCCAGCCGGAACGTGAACTCGAGACTCTGCAGCCAGAGGGCGTGCCAGCGGCGTTCGAGCTGGTAGACGACGGCCTGCACCGAGTCAACGTCTATCGAGGACGGGTAGACCTTGTTGTCGGCTTGCAGGTGGTCGCACAGCTTCAGCAATCCACAGATGAGCTTCGAGCGCGACTCGATCGCCACCTGAGTCAGCTGTGTGGGACGAAACAAACACACGAGTTGTCAACTTGTCACTACCGCACGCAACTAGCCTGCTGCAACAAACTTGTTTTTATTCACTCCTGAAATCATGATAGATCCTTCATCTGAACAGAGTGAAGACCGCACAAGCCGGAACTGAACTGAAAAGTGTCTTGAAACTTGCTAGAGACATCTTAGGTGTTGATTTAACAGGGATTAAGAGGGGGTGCGATAGGCTCAGCATTGTCTCGGCACTGCACGATGTTCCTGTCCACCAGCTACAATCCGTGGTGTTGATCAGGCCTTCATACACTAAACGTGGAAGCGGTGACCATGGTCCTCATTCAATAACTAGCAGGGCAATCTTGCTGTCAACTGATTGCAGTCACGGCCTCACAGGGAGTATGTGGACCACTGAGGCAGCCCACATAGAAACGAGGTGTGAAACCAGGGTCATTTCGAGACAAAAATTGAGAAGAATTGAAGAATAAAGGCAGAAGGCTAGAGGTCATACCAATAGGAAACTGAACACACGCACGCACGTATACACATACGCACGTATGCACCATATACACATTGTCTACTAGGATACACAGGTTTTGCCATATATCAAATTTCATGGTTTTTCACTATCTGCATTGTAGGGTCTAAACTTTAAAAGCAAATTTATAGAAATGTGGCAGTAGTTACTAAAGGTTAATAATTACCAGCAGAGAACCACCTACTACAACCAAAATAAGGATACACTCAAGCTTTTGCACGGTATTGCTCTAATAAAGTGTAAACGTTTATCGACAAATGAATGTAATCCATCACACGTTTTATTTATAGATAAAATGTATCTCTATGCTCAGGCCAAAAAAAAATCCAGAACCTAATTATGTGACAACACAAGTTTTTATGTAAAAATGGTATTTTGGATTTAATCAAAGAGCTTATAATGATCATTATAAGCTCTTTGATTAAATGGTTTTTATGCTACAAAAAAATGTGTAATTACAAATAAATTTAATTATGAAAATTAATAGTACACTACATCTCTAGCAATTTCCTTGTTAGCAGTTATCTGGTTTGCTAATCTCACTTAGGATGTTACGACGTAAAACCATTAAAATATTTTGATAGTGGTTCGAGCTAGCTTTTGAAAACATCTCCGACTACATATGTGACAATGGCATATTTCTCAGTACTACTAGATAGGACTACAACCATCCCGTCAATAGGTTTATAAATGCGGCTAACGCTATTGACAGAGCGATATGTTTACACCTATGCATCATGTGTCACCACAACTCACCACAACACAGACATGACAACTACATAAAAACGGACAGGATTGAAAGCAGGAAGTTAGAGAAAGTAACCATTGAACTCAAATTCGATGCTCAGAACGAATTCGTCAGCGGCTTGATAGTAAGACGGCTCCTCTATTCTAGTGTTGTGTAAATATGAGCAGTAAAGATTACTATTTGAGAAAGCCCTCGCTATGCAATCCTTGACTTCAGCTTTCTCACGACATGTTTACCAGCAACCGTTGACGAACATACACGGTGCTCGAACATCCACAAACGATATTACAGACGTATCCCACCATGTGTGAGTGTCGCTGGCATCTCGATACATGCCCGGAGGAGCTCTACAATACAACGCACTTGGAACAAAAGACACTCTCATGTACAGAAACAATTGCAGTAATTTAATTCGTATTTATTAGCTATTTATTATAAGTGTACAGGTCTGTGTATTGGCGTGCGTGCGGTGAGTTTACATTTTGTTCCGATTACCACTACAAATACTGCCGGGAATGTGTCTAGGTTCCAATAAGAGTAGTGACCTAACTACTAGGCCTATAGTCGGCGCATATATCACAGTCAACCATTGCATTCTATCAAGCATGAACCAGATGTACGAGCACCGCCACGCCAGAACAGGTATTTAAAAGCACGCAAGCAAGCATGTTGAGCTGTGTCCTCAAAATTGTCACAATCTGTCGCTATTTTGACACCTAAACTGAGTGACCGATACGACAAAAAGAGAGCGCAATTTAGTGGTCATATGCTGTGACTGACAACAAACAATAGCACGCAGTAGTAACACTTACGCGGTTACGGGAACATGCCGCATTCTTTTATGTGATCTCCAGAACACGTTTACCACTCAGAAACAAAGCATAACACACGCGATAAAAATAACAACCACAACAACTATCACCAGTCGCATAAGCGCTCATTCAAAATCTTGTTCGTCGCCTTCCAAACAACGAGGTGTTTGAATTATCGTTAAAAATGACGAACTTTGGACGGCTCTGACTCAACCGATTCAACAAAAAACACCGCACGCTAAACTAACGCTCGTAGGGTCTATGTCCCCCTGACCTCTGTTTGACCTGGCTCGTTTAGCTATTTCTGACTAACCCTACGACCCAGGTCAAACAGAGGTCAGAGGTACATAGACCTTATCTGCTAAACTAACGTTAGGCTGTCAGGTTCCCGCCTCGCATAGCACACTGTACACCGACACCACACATTCTGGCACGTCTAGGGAAAGCACAGTCATAGGGCCGCGTGGACCTTACTGGTAGTCTCCGCTACGCACGCAACAATATCCGATCAGGAAGGGGGAAGGAGAGGGACTTGTCGGACCTTGTGTCACCCAAGCACAACCTGCTATACGGCATGCAAGCATTTGCAATTGATGGACCAAAAATCAATGTGTTCGCTGTGGCAGGGAATGCCAATGGCCATTCTCGAGCACAGAGGCTGCGATTATTTATATTAGGGCCTGTCTGATGGCAATCGTGGTTACCAATTACTGGCAAACCGCCGCCTCCATTTACTCTACTTACTACGTACTAAGTAGCAGCGTATTAGACTGACTCCGTGAGTCGCTGATCATCAATGAATAACGGCAGCCAGGGACTTGGGAACAGTCTTACCCTATGCCGCAAGGGTGACATCTTAGTCCTACTAATATGGGGGTCGGGTAGCTGGATGCACGTTCTCAGCTGACAGAGACGTCAAGGATGACGATTTCAAATGATTGGGCTCAGGGCTCAGCTCATATACAAACAAGAGGTGAGGCGTTCAGCAACAGAGCAAGATGAGTCAGTCGTAGGTCTCAGTGTCTCATGTGAAACTAATGATCGGTACAATCTTTCTTTATGGAAACATAACATGCCCGCACGTGCCACGTGCTCGTTTGCACGTACGCGCGCGCACACACACACGCGCGCACGCCCACGCACACACACACGCACGCACGCACACGCACACACACACACATGCGCGCGCGCACACGCACGCGCGCACGCACGCACGCGCGCACGCACGCACGCACGCATGCACACACTACCATGATTTTGTCCAAATCAATCCTTGCACGTACGCAGTGGAGAAGTGCGTGGCACGAGCGACTGAACATGGGTAGTGTTGATCAATCAGCACAATAATGTAAATGTACTGTTCAACTAGTGCATCCATACTACACACGCTTTAATGCCATGTAAGAAAGGCGCCAACTACGGTTAAACGGCCGGACACACCAGGCGATGCCATCGCCCGATGGCATCGCGCAGTCGTGGACACACCAGGCGATTTCATCGGGGAATGGCTATTGGGCCGATGATGCAGTATGGATTGAACACTCTGATTGGCTGATGAATTGTAAAAGTGGCGACTGTTATCCGCGGTCGCGACGACACCAGAGCGATGGCATTTGCGATAATATCAAAAACGTTTTTGATTGTGCGATGCAATCGGCTGCGATTGAGCTGGACACATCCAGCATTGTTCACGCGATGCGCATCGCAGATTGGATCGGCGTGATGATCGGCCGATGCATCGCTTGTGTGTTCGGCCCTTAAACGCAAAATTGTAGTTGTCCTACGGGTGACAAAGCCAGAGAACCATACATGGCCGTATATAATAAACAAGCTCCGCAGTGCGACAGAGGCTCATCGGTGTCTGGTGTTCGTGCTGAATAAAAATTCAATTTGTGCATAAGCAAGACGTCTTATGCCATCAGTCTTCTTTATTGTGTTTTGACTTTCGTAGCCAATTCGAACAAATATAATACAGCGCTACAACTTTCGCACACCACTCTAATCTCTATGATTGCGAGACACCATGTCATTGCCAGGTTGGCACGGCAACAATTATGATTCAGGAAGCGTGCCAGCCATGGGCCTTGCCGTGTTTTGCCTACCCAGCGAGTGATTCACTGAGTTCAGCCTTCAGGTGCTATAGCAGACTGCTTATAGAAAATAATATGATCTTAAGAAGACGTAAACCTTGTTCAACAAACATATTGCCTTTGCAATTCAACTGTGCAACTGGTAGCCTCACATTTCACAACAGGTATGGGCTCTAATAAAGCAAACAGGCAGTTAGTCGTCCTGTGTTAACAGTCAGCAAATCAATGTGTTAAACCCTCCTCTTGAAGGTCAAAAGTGTTTATCCGACACGTTACTGCTTCGCATGTCAGCGAAAGTACATTTCATGTCCTTCTAATAAAGCCTCAGTGAAAAATGCTAGGTCCCGCTAAATAAAGAAAGTTTTCTGAATCGGCTTCGTCAGACATGTCCTCATAGAAATAATGTACTAAATCTGCCCTGTGCGCCATGACCTTTGATCTGTGACCTCCAATTTCGGCACAGTGATGCTTTTTCTACCATGATGCTATACCGACTATCACGAGCGCTAGGTCGAGCCGTTTAGATTTGTCGCCGCAATTCTGCACTTTCCTCCCTATACCTTAAGTTAAGGAGGGAATGTTCGCCCCTTAAACACCGCTGACTTTGACCTTTGACCCCCAGATCTTGCGACACCCACTGTTTCGGATTACCCCCCCACGTCCCGAATATCGTGACCGTACGTCGAGCGGTTAAGATTTGTGCCCAACTGTTGACGCACGGCCGGACGCACGGACGCACGGCCGGACGCACGGACGCACGCTCATGCGATTCTACAAGCTGCATCTGACTATGTCAGATGAGCTAATAATTAGTCACACTT